GGCATTTAAATAAAAATGTCCGCCGCTTTTTTCCGGCTTTTAAAAAAGCCGGAAAAGAGCGTCTACACTGGCCCCGATCCTCCGGAAAAAGCGCCCTTTTCCGGAAGCTCTTATTCCTACTTCAAAGTAGGCTCTTATTCCTTTTTTAAAAGCCGGAAAAAAGCGGCGGACATTTTTATTTAAATGCCGCGGGGGATATTTAAATTCCCCGGAATAAGATCCTCCGGAAAAGGGCACTTTTTCTGGAGGATCGGGGCCAGTGTAGTCGCTCTTTTCCGGCTTTTTTAAAAGCCGGAAAAAAGCGGCGGACATTTTTATTTAAATGCCGCGGGGGATATTTAAATCCCCCGCGCATTTCCCTACTACGACTCATGAAATTTACATGCCCCTTCCGGAAAAGGGACCAGTGTAGACGAGCCCCAAGTGTGTGTGTGTGTGTGTGAGACAGACAGACAGACAGACAGACAGGCAGACGGTCTCTCCTCTCTATTACCACACTGGAGCTGATGACAAAGACACTGATTTGTTCCTGACACTCAGACAGGTTGCTGTATTGTTCTCATGGAGGTGTAAGATATTGAGACTTGTGGAGCCTCTCTGCCAGTCACCCCAAATGAGGCTGCTTGCAAACACACCCCGTGGAGCTGGAGCTGATGCTGCTGTTGTCATGTGTTTGTCCAGATCTGTCCAAGTGCTTGTTGCTCACAGGTTGTCACTCTGTGACCCTGTGTCATAGCCAGCTTTAACAACACGCACGTGGTGTCATGCTGACACAGCCCTTATCAGACTGTACAATATGCCGTAGGCGGTTTGGCACAGTGGCCGTGAAAATACCACCGAATATGACAGGTAACCCCCAAGCCATAGGTCTGCCGTGGTAATTCTCTGACTGCCCAGATGACTGACGGGCCCTGTCTACTCAGAGCTCCCACTCCTGAATCACTGTTTGATTTTTATTGCAGTCAGACGTGTCTGTCTCCGCCGGCTGACTGAGCAACGGTGTGAACAGTTCAGCTTGTGAGCCTCCTGCCTGTCTGTCCCATCAGCCTTGGTGCCAAGAATCCAAGTGTGGCATTTCCCATTCACTGCAAGCAGCCTGGAGGCTTCCGTCCACCTCACACGAGAGACTCACGAGGGACAGAGGTGAATGCTTCTTCCTGTTCCTACAGTTCAGGGGTGGGGAACCTTTTTTGGCTCTTGAACCACTGCCCCACAGGAAAATCAGTCGGGGGGCCTGCACGCAAGTGAGATGCAAAAACAATCAAATAAACTCTCACTGACGTGGCCCCTGACTGAGAAGGAAAAAGACACTCCCACATTCCCCTAGCACACCAGAGACTAGCGGGGACCAGGCTAGTAGATATAGTGTGCTCTAGGGACGTTAAGTATCAGTTAGGGGCAGGAAGCCCTGAGCCTCAGGGGCCAGCTCCAAGAAAACTGGGGACCACATTTGGACCCCAGGCCTAAGGTTCCCCACCCTTACTACAGTGAGTCCCATCTTATTTGTCTCCATTCTCTCTGTAACGCCACCTGTCCGCAGGACTCTGCACTATGCTGTCAGGACCCAGATATATCCCAGACGTTTTATTTCAGGGCGGCTAAAGCTTTTGGTTTCAAGGACTCTTCTCAGGCCGTGATATGGTTTGTGGCTATGACAGTCATGAGATCTCAGGGCCCGCAGTCAATTCCAGAGGCCTCAAATTCATAGTGAAATCTGTTAGCAGACAAAACACTTTTACTTTAGTAACAACCTAGGTTGGATGTTAGGAAAAACGATTTCACTAGGAGGGTGGTGAAGCACTGGAATGGGTTACCGAGGGAGGTGGTGGAGTCTCCATCCCTAGAGGTTTTTAAGTTTTGGTTTAACAAAGCCCTGGCCGGGTTGATTTAGTTGGGATTGGTCCTGCTTTGGGCTAGAGGTTGGACTTGATGACCTCCTGAGGTCTCTTCCAGACCTAGGATTCTAACCTCAAGTATTGGACAGAAGCCCTCTCATTGCCACCAAGGCTACCCCACAGACACTGGCCACATGGGCTACACCTTCTCACACTCCAACCCTAGCCCACCGCACACAAAGCTCACAGGACAGCCCCAGTCCATACTTCAGATTGTCCACCCATTTTTAGCCATTGTCTCTTATCCCAATCGACAGACCCAGCCCTTTGCCACCCCAACTAACCACTGCAACCGAGAGACAACAGCTCACATCGTGCTCCCCAGCCACGTTTCCCTATTCATGATCCTGCTACAAGGCAAAAAAGTCAGACTATCTTATCCACCCTCTCTATACAGCCCAGAGAGCCCATCCACTTAGGGTATGTCTAGACTACAGGCTTTGTCAACAGAAGTTTTGTAGACAGATACTGTCGACAAAGCTTCTGTCGACAAAGAGCATCTAGACTACAGCCAGTTCTGTCAACAAAGCAAGCCGCTTTGTCAACATGACAGTGTAGACCGCAAAGGACAGTGTAGATGCAATAACGCCTTCTGTCAACAGAACTCTCTCGACAAAAGGCGTTATTCGTCAAAGAATGAAGTTTACAGCTGTCAACAAAACTGCTGAGTTCTATCAATGTTATGTCGACAGAACTCAGCGACAGTATAGATGCAGTTATAGTTTTGTTGACAAAAGTCCACTTTTGTCGACAAAACCCTGTAGTCTAGACACACCCTCAGTGAGCAACCTTCTTCGTGCTTGGCACAGCGCAAATGCTCTTTGAAGAGACTCTGTTGCCACAGACCAGTGACACAGTCACTCCATGAGCTGAACGCAAGTCCCCTCAATGCAAAAGCAGGCCACCCCCGACCTAACGAAGAACAGCTACCGACTGTAGTTCTCCTGGATATTGTCGGTGCAGCTCCCATGGCAGTTGTGCATAATAAAGTGAAATATCTATGAAGTAAAAGAGATGAAGAAGGATTTCTTCTCAAAAATAGTTTTAGAAATTGAGCACGAAGAGAGCAGCAGGCCAGACCCTGGCCACATTCTGTCTCATGCCCCGGGCAGGAAGAGGAACTGACAGCGGGTTGCAGCCGCTCTGCTTTGTATGTCTTCGCATCGAAGCCCAAGGCACATGGACAGCCCCAGATGCTGCTGTTCAAAAACTCCCAGGTGTGAGGCACAGCAGCCCCTGCAGGGGGCGTCCACGTCTGGCCTTACCATAAGGTGAACTGAGGCAGCTGGCTCAGGTGCCAGACTGTGGAGGGGCCCCACTACGACCCAGAGTGTAGAAAATTGTTTCTGCTGCTGGTGCATGTGTATTCTCTCTGCTCTGGATGCATAGAGATGGTGGAGTGCTGTGCTGGAGGAAGGAGGGCACAAAAAACAGGAAAAAGGCAGAATTGAGACCTTTCAAAGTTTTGGCCCAAGCGAAGGGTTATGGAGGCATCATTTGAGCTCAAAATGTTGTGGGCCAGCGGTGGGAGCATCACACTGACACCTACCGGAAGAACACCACTGGGTCTATTGGTGAACTATGTTTCTTTGTGACTAGCCACTCGAGTGCAAACAGCTCATGCACATGCGCCAAGGAGGCACAGATGAATGTGTTTGGTTATAGTTCGTTTTCTTCAGTCTCCACCTAGGCAGGAGTTTTCAAAAAGGTTTTGGCACGTGGAAGGTTTGTGTAAGCAGGGGCTGAACTGCTGCTTGCTATCAGCCAGCTAAAAGGAGAGAGCTGCCCTGGGGTGGGTGTGCTCACTACAATTGTTTAGCTCTGCAAGATAATTAACTGTTAACTGTTCTTATCGGCCACAGCCCATGCAGCTGAGCTGGGAATGTAGCGAGGAATAAACCATGTTGTGATTTCAACTTCATGAGAATGCTAAGAGTGGCATGGGGCCAGTACGTGCACACCTGGTAAATAACTATAATATAACTAGTGTGGGATGTCCCGTTCCTGGTGAGTTTCACCAGGGACCTAGACCTTGGTGGGTGCCCTGGATTTCCCCCATCTGGAGCCATGTTGACCACGGCCCTTGAAGCGAGGATCAAGGATGGGACTCCCCGTGGTAGAAGGGACGTAAGCATTCCAAGTGCCTTTTATTCTCATATGCATTGCTCTGCAGCGCTTGCCAATGTGCACTCTGTAATAACTGTATAACAGCAATTCAGCAATATTAACTCTGTAGTAGCAGTGATGTAGCAAGACTAATAAAGCAAAGCATCCCTAATCGACTCTGTGTTGAAGTGAATCCATAATCCTGTTCGTCCATGGCCCTGTGAGTTTACAGTTACTGGGTCTAGTTACAACCACAGATTTGGAGGAAACTATTCTGGTTCTATACCACTCAATGGAGCTTTTCTGAAGTGGCTGTCCAGCATCAAATGACTTCCACTACTTAAGGGCACCACTCAAGCATCAGTGCCTCCATTGTGCTAGAGGCTGTACAGATACACTGTCAATAATATAGACCCTGCCCCTGAATGCTACCCACTGTCTAGGTTAGGAGAAGATGAGACAACCAGGATGGGAGGGAAGAGCAGTGAAGAGAAAGGTGAGCATGCGTTTACACATTGATCAGAGTTCTCGGTTTGCTCCTGTCTAAGCTTTACCAGTGGGCCGCAATTTGCAGGGCTCTGGGGCAGAGATGAGCCGTAGAAGGACCCTAACAAAGGTTGAAGTAGTGACTTTTTTAAGGGTGTTTCTTCTATTCATGCCCGGTCACCTGGGAGAAAGCAGGAGGGTGTCTGTGGATGGATCAGAGCAGCAGACTGCCTGTTGTGGATGGGTGCAGGGCTACAACATAGGAGGGCTACTGGTTCAGGTATTTTGCCCACAAAGCATATCTGATTGTTTCCTGGGCACTCAGGTACACCCCTCTGTCTCTGAATTTCTACCCCACTCATTTAGAAGGTGGCAGAATAACCTTTAAAGGTGCTAATGATGTAATTATGAAATATACGAAGTCTCAGCATTTCAAGACAAACTCAAACCAAGTGCTGCCAACATGCCACACTCTTCACTTCCTCTTTGAAATAAAAGGTTTCATGCATTTCAAAGGGGGCTTTGTTTCACTTGTTTAGCACAAGATGCAAATCGGCTGGCAGGTAAAGCTGAAGGGAAGAGGCACTTCTTAGGTGCAGGAAGCAAAAACAACCGACCAACCATCTGAAACAAAAACCCAGTGCCCAGAGGGTGGGAAGGGAACAATCTAAATTTCAGGCACCTTGTGGGTTTCATTTTTAAATTACATGTGCTGTTTAAAATTACTCCCACATCATTGAGAGGATGAAGAGCAAGTGATTTTCCTAATAGACCTCTTCTTGCACTTAGATAGGACCAGAGCCTTCCTGAACCTTGGAAAGGAGACTTCCACCTGTTTAAGGCTTTCAAGATCTTTGATTAGCTAGAGACAAAACGAAGATTTCAAAGATCACACTTGTAACAATAAACAGGATTATATAGCACTTTAAAGACTAACAAGAAGGTTTATTAGGTGATGAGCTTTCGTGGGCCAGACCCACTTCCTCAGATCAAATTGTGGGTCTGGCCCATGAAAGCTCATCACCTAAACCATCTTGCTAGTCTTTAAAGTGCTACATAGTCCTGTTTTTGTTTCAGCTAGACTAGACTAACACGGCTACATCTCTATTACATTCTACTTGTAACAATGTCTTTAAAGGACAGAAATTTCCTGAGGAATCAGGAGGAAGGGGCTCAACAGACATTTCCTTACTCTGCTGACATGGATTTTTTAAAAATTTATTTTAGAAGTGAGAAGGGACAATTTGGAGGGCAGAGCCCTCGTTAGATTGTCACCGGCAGATCTAGTGTATTGGCTGCTTCCTGTGTTGCTGACACAGCTCCCGTGGACTTCGTGGCTTGTGTCATCTAATGAAAGTTACAGTAGCAACATGTTTCCTGCCTTCTGTTCTTCCACTTAGCCCTTCACAATAGAACTCTCACTTTCATCTCCAAAGTACAGTGATGCTAGAGTTTTCTATTTCAGGTGCTGTGTGGATCAAAGCCACCCTAGGGAGAATGTGTATTTGAACTGGCAGAAATTAATCAGTGCGTTGGGTGTCAGAGCTCTGAGCAATCATTAGCTCAAAAAAAAAAATCTTCTAATGCGTGCCGCTTTCACCTAATAAATCTGTCATCTTCAGCAGAGAGGCCAGCTCTTTGCCAGGTATTACCTGATGAACATCACCAACTCTTCAGCCTTGACTATACTCGAATTTTTATTCGTTTCCC